CTATCTCTCTAGCCTACTGACTTTTTTTTTTTTTTTAAAACAATACAGATTTTGCTTTAGGAAGTGGAGAGATGACTGACTCAGTGGTTAAGAGCACTGGCTGCTTTTGCAGACAACCCAGGTTCGATTTCCAGCACCCACATGGTGGCTAATAACTATCTGTAACTTCAGTTCCAGGGGATCTGACACCCTCTCTGACTTCCATGGGCACTGCACGACACGTGTGCGCTTAGGACATATGTAGGCAATACACTCATATACATAAAATAAGAAAAATAATTCTTTGTAAAAATTTGCTTTAAAAGTTTTATGAGGGTCAGGTGTGGTGGCGCATGCCTTTAATCCCAGGCCAGCTGGGGCTACTGGGAGACCCTGTCTCAGAAAGACCAAAAAAAAAAAAAAAAAAAAAAAATTTTATGCTACCTTTTTTGTTTGTTTTTTAGTTTTAAACATAAAATTCACATTTGTGATGCTTTCCCACTATATCAGACTCTGTGTCTTCTTCAGACTAATAAAATACCAATTCATATTACAAAAACAAAACCAAATTTCAGTGGCAAAATACAGTACTTCCTCTAACTTATTCAATCTTTGGACACTGTACTATCATCATTAAGTACTAGTTCTGGTGAACTGAAAACTAAAACTAATTTAGAAAGCTTCTTGGTTAAGAATATGAGGTAGTAAAAAGGAAACAGATCAAAATAAGCTTTAAACATTCACGGTAGATTTAACTATTCAAGTTTTTCAATGGTTCTATGACAGTGTGGAATTACTATTCAAAGAACAGTTAACCATAATCATCTGGACAGTCTTTTTGAGACAAGGACTCCCTGTAGCCACAGCTGGCCTGGATTCGCTAACAGAGACCAGGCTGGCCTTTAACTCAGAGATCTGCCTGCCTCTGCCTCCCCCTCCCCAGCGCTGAGATTAGGCGTGCGCCACCACACTCAGCTTCTGGACAATCTTTTTAACAGTCCCCTAGCCCCCTCCACAGAGGACAATGTATAATGCTCCAAAGCTGAAGAATGGAACTCTCAGTTCTAGCATGAGACTTGTAAGAAAATTCAAATAGCATACTTAGGAAGTACTTAGAAATAACACCAATCAACCACAGTTCATTTTTAAATTCATTTTTATTTTACATGTATGAATGTTTTGCTCCATGTTTATAAGTGTATCATGTGTGTGAAATGCCTGTGGAAGTCAGAAGCAGGTGTCAGAGTTGTTGAAACTGGAGATATGGAAGGATATTAACTGACATATGGGTGCGGGGAACTTAACCCGGGTCATCTGCCAGAGCAGCCAGTGCCCTTAACCACTGAACCAACTCTCTAGCCCCAATCATAATTAATTTTACAAGACTCAGATTTCTTGTCTTTCACCATAATTCAACAGCTTTGTCAGAAGGGCTTTCAGGGAAAGAACCATGCAGCAGCAGATTATAGAACAGACACTATACTTTAACTATAGGTTTGCGGGTATGGTCTCAAAACTAACACTAAATTCAATGCTACAGGATGAAGGTGTAGTTCAGTGGTAGATTACTTGCCTAGGCACAAGGTGCTGGGTTCCATTCTCAGCACCACAAAACAACAACAAACCCCTAAACTCAAAGAACATCAATGCTGAAATGAAATTATAAAATACCCCCCCATTAGCCTGCTAAAACTGTAAGCCCCAACTTTGACAGAACTGACACACTGTAAATAGTATGCCTGTTTTCTGAGATGTCCATAGATTTATGGACTGCACAAGGAAAACAAAACAAAACACCTCAACATGCTTCACTAACTTAATTATTGACATTTCATAAGCTATACTGCATTCTTAACATCTAACCTTAAAAATAGTTTCTCGGGGCTGGAGAGATGGCTCAGCAGTTAAGAGCACTGACTGCTCTTGCAGAGGACCCAGGTTCGATCCCTAGCACCCACTTGGTGGCTACGAACTGTCCTTAACTCCAGTTCCAGGGGGATCCGAAGCCCTTGTCTGACCTCTGAGGCATTGCATGACACGGGTGCACTCACATATGCAAGCAATACACTCGTACACATTAAAAAAAAAAAGTTTCTGCTTCTCTAAAACCTTTTTTGAGTCTCCCTGTAAAAGAACTGACTGAGCTTTGGGGAGGCTTCCTTAGGAAGCTAAGTTTATTCTAACCATGTAGCAAAACTAACTCATGGAACTTTTCAGAATGTTATACATTTTATTATTTCTCCTACTTTGGCAATTTTTCCTAATATGAAAGCATTTAAAAACTAAAAGAGGTGCTGGAGAGATGGCTCAGGAGTCAAGAGTATTTGCTGCTCTTCTTGTGGAGGACCTGGGCTTGGTCCCTACCATGTTGGGTGGTTCACAAACACCTGTGACTCCAGTTTCAGGGGCTCTGATGCTCTATTCTGGCCTCCGCAGGCAGGAGGCAGAGACAGACAGATCTCTATGAAACAGGGGCTAGCTTGGTCTACCCAATGAGTTTCAGGTCAGCTGGCGTACAGGGAGAGTCTCAAAAAACAAAACAAAATAAAAGGCATTAGGGAAACGTAAAGCCTCCTAAAATACAAAATACTCAAGTAATGATCTAAGAAAAATTAAAAAAAAAAAAGTGACAGCTTATCTCAAGCACCTGAAAACTAGTGACCCATCCTCAGCAATGATAAAGGAGAGGCGAAAGCTCCAACTACAGAATAACTATTCCCAGGCTTTCTACTACCTTAAAATTTAATCTACCTTATAAATATGCTGTTGTCATTAACAGCACACTGTATTAGTAGGTCCTTGTATCTACATAGAATCAACAAGCATTCAACGTAGTGTTTTAGGTGTATACTTAACCATTGTAGCAAGCCCAGTGTAGTGCTGTATATCCATGATTGTCTGTTATGGCTGGATTTGCATCCACAGATGCTGCTGACTGTAAAAGGGCGCCAAGAACTCCAATGTGTCCACAGGCAGCTGATAAGTGTATAGGTGTCCGACCCCTGCTGTCCCGTAGTAAGCATTTAGCACCGTGTTGAAGTAATGCATCTACACATTCTTCATGGCCTGTAACTGCCTGTAAAAAAGTTTGCTTCTAGTCAAATATATTACGTGGGACACTGTGGACCAACTTTAGTTAATTTAATTTTAGCTTACCCCTCTATGCAATGCTGTCCTTCCCCACTTATCTTTGGCATCTACATTTGCTCCTTTGTTCAGTAGTGAGTACACACAGTCTGTGTGTCCATTGAGAACAGACAACATAAGAGGTGTCCTGAACAATAATAATAGAAAGAGGTTTAATGTTATCACAAGGCTAAGCAGCAAACAATGTGATGCCTTGTTTTCTATATTTAATGTTTTTCCATTACAAACTATGACAGATTTACTAAAATAGGGGTCAAAGTATAGATTACCCAGTATTTTAAAAGCAATCAAAAAGTAGCTGTGATGACACATACCTGTACTCACAACACTGAAAATGGTGAGATAGTGACATTGTGGGTTGGAGGGCTGCCTGCATTATATAGTGAGATCCTGCCTCAAAAAAAAAGTAATTTGGCCTGGTGTGGTGGTGCACAACTTTGATCCCAGCACTCAGGAGACAGAGGCAGGAAGATCTCTGTGAGTTCAAGCCTAGCCTGGTTTCCATAGCAAGTTCCAAGCCAGCTGGGGCTATAAGGAGACCCAGTCTCAGAATACCCTTCCCCCTCAAATAATTTAAAAATTACTTACTGTCCATTTCCATCTTGAATATCTACTGCATTCTGTGGTTCTGCATTTCCTATTAACAACCGTAAGCATTCTGAATGACCATTTGTTGCTGTTAAGTAAATAAAAAAATTTTTTAGTAATTTTATATATATAATAATGCATAATATTTATTTTAGAGCATATCTTTTAGAATATAATCTTGGGATTTTACTGAATTTGATATGCAGAAGGAAAACGACATACACAAAGTATATTTTATATTGTATTTGTTGCTGAAGGAATCATCTGTTCACAGCAAGCAGAATGTGTACTCCACACCCCTCCCTCATCATCTTTCAAGATAACAGACTCCGAGTTTATCCTCTCTGCTAGGAAGAGAAACCTGCCTACAGCTAATGGGTACAATCAAGTCAATCATATTAGACTAGATCAGTCACAACAATGACAATCTCTTTTGAGAGTCATTAGCTGTAAGGAGAGAAAAGGTCCAGATCTGCCCACTAAGACACTGAAAAGTCTAGAGAGCTTTTGGCAAATACTTTTAATAATTATAATGAACATCCCTATTTCTATTCTAGTTTTGGCTGTGAACCTAAAAAGCAGCAGCAACATCCTGTGATATAAATGCAAAGGCAATATAATAAAGAATTCTGCTGAGGCCTGATTTGACATCATTGTGGAATCAATCAACTGCAGAACTGCACTATTATCTTGTGTGAGACCAAACATCTGTCAATTAAAACATGTTTAGTCAGGCAATTTATAGCTGAAAGAGTTCCAAAAATGACATATATATGTCGTAAACACCACATTTCTGTATAAAGAAATGTTTTTCTGAGCACAAATGTATAGAACAGACAAGCAGAAGTGGAAGCCTCCAACCCAACAGAAAGTTGTTAAAGTATGTTGTGGCTCCTTCAAACAATACAGTTTGAAGCAAAAGAAAATATGTAAGCCACAAAATGATGCAGAATGTAAGGCCTTCCATCATCTCTGGTTAAAAAGATGAAAAAAGCCAGTGAGAAAAAACCAGGTGCCTAAAATTTTAGATGCCCTCCCCCAAAGATGGTCTCATGTAGCCCAGGCAAAATCTTGAACTTGCTATGTAGCCAAGGATAAGATGGACCCTGAAACTTCTCACATTCCTGTTCCTACCTCCCAAGTGCTGAGATTAAAAGCATGTATTACCATGCCTAGTTTATAAGGTGTTGGGGAACAAACCCAGGGCTTTATGTATGCTAGATGAGCACTCCACTGGCTGAGCTACATGCCCAGTTCTAAAGTATTTTTTCCCCTACAGTATTAACAGCTATATGAAATTCTAATGGTTAAGATTTCTGGCTCGAAACTACTTTACCCACCCCCACTCAATCTGTATGTTTCACACTGCCAGCAGCTTAGCTTAGTAATAAACAACTGTCAGAATACTCAGGACAGTTCAAGGAAATCTAATTTGGCTCATCATTAAAAAAAAAAATTAATTTATGTTCAGTATACAGTAGCTATTGGTAAGTGTTTGTATGACTGAAGTTCAATAATCAATCAGGCAGGGATCACTGAAGAGGAGGGAACAGATAGTGAAAGGAGGTCTAAATAGGATCAAAATATATTGTGTAAAATTTGCAAAAATTCAGTATAAAAATGGAAAAAACAAAAAAATATCCCACAATACTGACCACAGTATCAGTGTAAGAAAAGACTGCTGAAAGAGATGTATCCTTGCTCCGGAGTGTGTTACTGAATATGTTAAAGCTGTAATGAAATGCTTCTAATCATGTGGTTATTAAATTAAAAAAAATTTTAAAGAAAATCAATAATTCTTCAAAGCATAAAAATTTGCTCCTTAATAATTAGTAGATGTGAAAAACATTACCACTGAAATCTATCTGATAACTTTATAACCATGCTCAGATGCCAAGGATGTCAGAAAGTAACCGACTGTGACTAGTAATAATCAGGTATATATACGTTAGAAACACATGTGCATCTTAGTGTCAGTTGTATTAAAAATGAATTTTTCTGTATGAACCTGTATTTTAATAATGAATTGGGGATCTTTGTCTCTT